CTTTTGAACATCGACAACTTTCATAGCTAGATCCAAAACTAAACTAAAATGGAATAGTTTGCTATTCTAATCCTCGAAATCAATTATATTTTAAATAGTTCACTATTCTAACCCTGGAAATCAATTATATTTTAACTTAAACATAAATAAAATGGTTCAATCTGATAGTGGGTGGTCCTAAACAAAAGAATATCTCATGCGTGATTAATGAATTGTTGAAAATAGAAACAAAGAGACAAATCGTGGTGCTGACGTGAGGTAAAATCTTAAAATTTGGAAAGGTCTATGTTATCCTGACACGTGGGTAATCCCAACTGGCACACTTGTAGATTCCTGAATCAGTTAAAAAATTTATCCAATATTTAATTTTTATTTATATGAATTTTCCACATTCAGAAATGAGAGACAGAAATCCAATTGCCAAAGCACTAAACCCACAATGGATTCAAAAATCATAACTCGAATTTTTCATTCCATTTTCCTTCTTTCACTCTTCTCATCAGTTTCAGAGTCTCATCAGGTAATCAAACAGAAACAAATTTAGATTCTTGATTGAATAAAACTAGTCAACTGTTGTATCCATCCATACTTGTAAATTTTAGTTAAAACTCCCATGATTCTATTGATTTTGTTGTTATTTTGATTCTAAGAAGTCAGGAAAATGGGTTTAATTGAAGCACGAAGCTTGACAGTAAATGTCTTCTTTTCAAAATAATTCTTTCTTGAATTGTTGAGCTAACATTTATGGAATTCAGTTTCCATTTTGCCACTCTTTTGATATTTTTCGTGGCAGTTCTGTGATGCCGGGATTGGATACTGTGAATCGGAATATGGAGTTGCTTCAGGGTCTTCTTCGAAGATTTTGATTAAGGGAGGAACAGTTGTGAATTCTCATCTTCAAGAGGTTGCTGATGTATATATAGAGGATGGTATTGTTGCTGCAGTGCAGTCTAACATCAAGGTAATTTTTCTCATTATATTGATTAGTTCAAGTTTCTATAAATGATAA